TGAATGATCCGTGTGCATCTCTATTTATGATAAGTGTATAAAATATCTTGGTAGCGATTATTTTTGAGCAAATCAATCTCCATGCACGGATGAGGATCTAGCTTTCAAGATGGAAAGCTTTTCAAAATATAACAAGGCAAGAATCATTTATACAAGGAAAGCTCCAACGGACTCATCTCAAGCGACTATATAATCGAGCAGCCAGAAAGAAAAAGTGTGTGCTTGACCAGAGAAATATTCAGAGACACACTCGAGAAAAATACGAAGTTCAAGGCACCTGAAACTGCTCACTCGGAGTTCTAGATAGAGTTTCTTCTTTCCCTTCTTCATATTGTAATGGGGTTTTGAGGATTGGCTAAGAGTAGCCTCCTCGGGTTGTTTTGTGTGAGTGAGAGCTTTGTTGTAAAGCTGAGAGGCTCTCTACCCGCAAGGTAGAGAAGCGTAACTCTTCCTAGAGAGGATAGAGTTGGGGTGGCTCAAGGGTAGACTAGGAGAGTTTCCCTTGTAATCATTCAAAGGCTTTTTAGTGAAGTTGTTAAAATTCCTCCGAGGGAGGTCGAGGTTTTTTAATCCCTTTGAGCCAAGGGATTTTTCCTCGTTAAATTCTTGTGCACTTTACTATTTTGCAATTCCCTTTATCCCACACTAGAACTCGGCGAAAAACTGCCACGGTTCCACACGCACACAATTCACCCCCCTTCTTGTGTTGCTAACCGTTTTCATCAGCCTATGAACTGGTGGTATGTATGGAAATAGATTAAAAATAAATTTATGATAAATAGATTACTCTTGTGGTCTTGGATATTTGATTGAATTTTAAGATAACTTAAACTGCCTCAAGCATGATTATAGTTTTAGAATTCTAATGCTACAGACAACAATTCATATACGTGTTGTGGAATAATACTTTTCTTTTTATTTGTTTAATGAAATTGTCAGAGATATGGAATACATACTACATGGTATTAATATTTTTTAAAAAAATTGGTGCCCCTAATGCTTTTGGTGCCCTAGGCACATGCCTAGGTGCCTACCCCCAAAAACCGGTTCTGAATTCAATCGGGAAGGCACTCAAATGAATTCTTGAAGATAACTGCGCTTTTAACTGCGCAGTTATTGACGGGCACTTTATCGTGTGTGCGCTCAAAATAAATTCAATACTAACAACTATACGTAGTATAGTGAAGTAGAGTTCGTATCCACAGGGAAAGGAATAATTCTCTTTTTATGAACTAGTAAATAAAAGGGGGGTTTTGGTATTCTTGGAATTTAATTAATTAAATACTAAGATGAAGGACTTATATGAGATTTAATTTAAAGATAAAAAGGACTTGACATTGCTACTTTCCACTTGTTAATATATTTTAATCGATCATTGTTATATGTATAACTTATTCCCTCTCGAATACTCAATCGAGGAGTATATCCAATTCATCGAGGGTAGTTATTAACAACGACCGTTCATTAATAACCCTTACTATTAGTCAAGTATAGAACACCGTCATATACCGACTTGATAGTAGCATTTAATCTCTCAACTCCTTGATGAAATCAATTGAGATTGATAACCTCAACACAACGGTTTCGGTTTAACCAACAAAATTAGTCCCTCTTAAGTTTATTAACCACGACCGTGCATTAATAAACCGAAGTTACTTACTTGTGAAACCATCAACGATTAACCATCGGTTCGTTGATCGTTTCTAATAGTAATTAATGTTGAGATGTTAACTAATTGTCATCTTAGCAACACTCCCCAACATTAACATAGAGATAGATTAAGGGAAGAATTAATATTCAAGGAAGAAGATTAAATATGAATAATCCTTCTATAACTAATGTCAAGATGTTATCTAATTGTCATCTTAGCAACACTCCCCAACATTAATATATAGAGGAAGAAAATAAATACTACCATAATTAATGTCGAGATGTTAACTAATTGTCATTTTAGGATTCTTAGCAACACTCCCCAACATTAATATATAAATATATTAAGAGAATAATTAATATTCAAGGGAAGAAGATAAGAAAATAACTCACAACTTTAATAATCAACAAGCTTCAAGAGCAACACCAAGAAATGGAAGTTTAGCTCCTCATTTGGAGACTAAACAGGCTATAAAAATATAAAAGAAATACTATTCTAAACTGAGCTTAAGGGTATGGAAGAAGGAGTTGTGAAAAGTGAAGGAAAATGAGGCTATTTAGAGGTGTTTTCAACACCCTGGGGCATTTACCCGACCGGGTCAAGTGCCCACCCAACCGGGTAAATGTCAAAATCAAATATTTCCCACGTTCTGGCGATCTTCGGCATGTTCTGGTGTTCCGGGTCACATCTGACCCGACCGGGTCAAGTAGGGGACCCGACCGGGTCTGGCAATTTCCTTGCTTCTTCGGTTGTTAAATCTTACCCGACCGAGTGGGGATTTCTACCTAGTCGGGTTTTGCTCCTGGGCAGTCAAATTTCTTGTTTTATTCTCTTCAAAGTCCTCTTTTCCAACACCATAAATCCTAAATCTATTTTACAACTTATAAATGAAGATTAAAATACAATTACAACTAAAATCACACAAATGTTTACAAACTAAATAAAATGATAAATAATACACACAAATCAAACATAAAAACATACACTTATGCACTACTAAAAACATTTTTTTGCAGACATCTGGAGAAGGAAGAACCTTCGCCTACAAAAACAAAAATCTAATCTGAGTTTTGAGAAAGGCCATTGATGCACAGTAAAAAATCAAAGGTTTTGAAAAAAAATTAATTGCAAATATTTCTAATTTTAATTAAGTCCGTATTAATTATTTCTGGGTATTTTACCAAAATACGGGAATCCTCAACATCTCTTGCCTCAAAAAGAGGAAGTCGCAATTGCCTCTTCCGACCAGAGATAGGGTTTCGAAAAAACAAGGGTGGGCTAGTGTCGGATACACCAATTCCGACTAGGGGTTTATTTGATTTTTTAGATTGGGAAAAATAATTAAAATACCCCAAACTTTAAAGGGGTGTGAGATAAACACCTCAAACTTTCATATGTATTTTAAATACCCCAAACTTTATATAAATAGTCATTTTAACACCATGATCATGTATTATTTCTTTCAAAAATGTAGATTTATGGTGTTAATTGCATAATTTAAAATAGCAAATTAAAAATGATGCAATTATATAGAGTGTGTGGGGAGGTGGGGTAGTATTATTTTACAATAGAAGTTTAGAATGTTAATTTCATCTTCATGAATGCTAAAAAATTCAAAATATGCAATTAACACCATAAATTTACATTTTTGAATGAAATAATACATGAATGTGGTGTTAAAATAAATTTTTATATAAAGTTTGGAGTATTTAAAATACATATGCAAGTTTGGGGTGCTTAAATTACCTCACACCCCATCAAAGTTTGGGGTATTTTAATTATTTTCCCCTTTTAGATTCAGTATTTTTTAATGAAGTGCTTTGAATAGAGTTCCGAATTTTTAATGAAATGCTTTAAATTTCTTCCAAAAAAAAAAATTGAACTGCTTTAAATGAACTGCTTTAAATGTAATGAAGTTTTTTTTAGATAAAGTGAGTTTTTTTAATTGAAGTAAAATACGTACCGTGCAATTTTTTAAAATGAAAAATATGCGTTTTGATTTTTTGAATAACAAAAAATTGATTACTTTATTTTCTTTTTTAATCCATCCCTATTTTTAATTAAATTAATAAGATGAAGCACAAATTTCATTTTGTTTAAAATGCAAGTTTTGTAATTTTAATGGAAGTGAACAAAACAAATGTAGCTTTAAATGTAATTTATTAGTAAATACATAGTACGTAACGTACATACAATAATAAATTTAATACTACGTCTAATGTTGCTTGCTCGGCCCTGACATGTCCTCGCCGCCAGTATTCCAAAACCCGATGTGTCTTCAAAAGTGGGAAAATATGCCCTTGTCTGTGTAGAGTACTGATAAGAACCATAATACGGCGGTGGTTCAAAAAATGTGAAATCTTGATGCGAAGAGAATTGAGGGGGAGGTTGTGATTCCTCACCCGCACCTTCATCTTCAGCTGCATCACCCTCTTCCTCATTTCCACCATCGTCTTCATATTCGTCTCTATCTTCATCAGCGTGACGATGTATATTACGACCACGGGTGGGAGCATCTCTTCGTCGATTAGGCCTACGACGAGGGACGGGAGCGGGTTCATCTTATATTTTGGCAATTTTTCGTAAATTAATCTTATTTCGGAAAATCCCTCACCTCTAACACGGTTTAGAACAGTCTCTTATATACTGGTAAAATGAAAAAAAATGGTTCTCCTCGTCTGATTTAGCAATTCCGACAGGATAAAATGAAATTATGTTTTTTTTTTGTTTTTATTTAATTCATTCACGATATAATAAGTATAATTTAAAAAAAAGTTTCCCCTAGTCGGATTACCCAATTCACCCAATTCCGACAGGAAGGGTTGTGTGGAAAATGTAACCCTACTTCTGGTCGGATCACCCAATTCCGACTCCCGCATTTTGGTACCCTAATTACATTTCCCGTATTTTGGCGTGTCAGACAAAAAAATCACGCATTTTGGGAACTTCCTCAGTATTTCTTATGGTTTAAAATTTACACGTGTAATATTTTAAGTGGACTACTAAAGAAAATGTACGGTACACTTCGAAAATATACAGGTACCGTAGAAGGACCCTTAACTTATATACAGGTACCGTAGAAGGACCCTTAACTTAGTAGTATTAACATATATTGACATCATGACATCATCAATGATGTCTCGGTATCAGCAGGAAATTAAATTGCTCGTCTAAGAATAAATCAAAGGAGAGCGTAATATAAAACTATAGAATGTCTATTTCCCAAGAAAAGCTAAAAGTGTATTGTTTGATTAATTGGAGAATGTGTGTATGAGTGTATGTACATATTTTATTCCTTTGCCGCTTGTGTATAAGAACCCATCGTCTAGTAACATTTATTTCATCATTCACAAAAGATCACAACTTCTTAATTATTAAAGAAAAACGCACTCCATCTATACATACCAAGAAAGCTAGGAGATCGAGATCGAATCAAGGTATGGATTACAAGGAGGCGAAGACAAACTTTTACAAGCAACAGTTTGAAAAATGTGTAGCAGCTCATGAAACATCGGAAGACCAAGATGGCAATCGCATTCTTCGGATTCCTCTACCAGAAAGTATATACTGTCATCTTCTCCTTCTTAATTAACTCCCTTTGAATTGCCTGATCAAAAATAGTTTCTGATATATATTTCAAACGAGCATGAGATCCATCACAAAATCTATTATGTTAAAGCAAATTATACAAATATATATATATATACTACGTAGTATATACAACTGAACCATTTAAATATTACGGAATAATAAATAATAGAACAATGATTTGCACCGGTCAAATGTATTCTAGATATAGTACTTTCTTTCATTTGTTTATGGGTTTTTTACTATTTTAATTATAGATATAAATTTAATTATTTTTATATGATTTTATTATGAATTAAAAAAATTTATTATGAATTGATACGCTTACAGGTATTTAGGGTAGAATGTTAATGTTTAGTTCTATTTGTGAATGATTTAAGCTAAGGCTTTAGTTCTATTTGTCAAGTTAAATTTCTATTTAGTCCTATTTAGGTCAATTTTTATTATATAAATAGTGTAGATGCTCAGTTTTGGCTACTAATTAATATGCTAGCTAGCCAGTGGCGGAACCAGCACGGATGATTTGGAGGGGCACATTAACACATAAAAAATGCAACATTTTCACTTTAATATATACTTGTAAATGCACAAGTTTTATCGTCATTATATTTAATTCTCTATTACTAAAAAATTTAAAAATCAATTATGAAAATTTGTAATGATATGAATTAAACAATATTTTTCAAAAAAATAATTATCATGCATTAATAAATGAAATGTCATTAAAATAGCTAGAATATGTGAATAGTGTAAAATTTTCAATGTTACAATTAAAAGGAATCAAAAGGATATCATACATGATATATATTAATAAACAAAATAATAAATTTGAATTAAAAAGGTTATTAAAGAATAACTTAATTTTGATTAGAATTTTTGATGGAGTTTTTTTTTCCTTTTTAATTGTATTTCTCAATTATATACAAAGGAATAAATTATACGGAGTATAAAGGAATCATAGTAACCACTGGACAAGTTGATCCAATGGTCTTTTTCCTAAGTTGTTGCCACGTACATCATATCATGCTAGGTTCAATTGAATTTTCAATAGTGCTTCTTTTTTTTTTGGAAAATACGAAGTAAGGTTTAGCAATTAGCTGTGATCCGCAGGGGCTGCCCAGGTGCAGGGGCACTGTCTAGGAGTAACATGTGCGGAGTATATATTATACATATATAATGAGTAAATAAAAATCCGCAGGGGCACGAGCACCTCCGGCACCCAACATAGTTCCGCCCCTGTAGCTAGCTAGGAATGAATCTAGTACTTATATATATGTGACAATTAACTAACTTTGGATGCTTATTATATACTTTTTCAACTTGAACTAACTTTCCATGCTTATTACTTGTGTATACCAAGTACATATATATATATATATATAGAAAGGTTTTTCAATAAATATTATCGAAATATAACTATTTTAATGGGCAAAATATTACTATAATTACTATGCAAGTCATTATAATGATAGAGTTGTAAACAATGATGATTGATGATCATTAAAATTAACATGATAGTCACTAAGTCATATTTTTATTAACATATGTGTGTGCTCAGTAACCAAGCCGGAATATATAAAGGTGCAATTAACCAGCCGAGGGGCGATTAGGATCACTTGGACGCCGAATGTAATTTTGGAAGGAGTAACGACACCCTTGGACCCCATGGTCTACCCAAAAGATATAAACTTTATTTCTGATGAAGATCATGACTCGGCCAGCGTTAGTGCAAAGTTTGAAAATGGCGTTCTCACTATCACTGCTCAGCCACTGCGGAAGCCTTCACCAACTCCACCGGCCATTCTACAAAATCAAGTACACCCAAAACCCTCACAAGTAATATTAATTAATTAACCGTCGCGTACAAAATTCCCAAAATAGAAGTAAAATCAATTACAAGTTCCGAAATATGAGCGCGTTCCTACTTTTTCAACTTGAACCCAAGTAATAACTAAATTACTGTCTCTTCTCAATTTGTTTTGCAAATTCAACATTTTTTGTCAACCAATGTTACAGTTAAATAATTTCTATAGATCAGATAAATTATTTAATTTTAATAATTACAATTCACATATGCAGAAATTATATTAAAATCTCTACAAAGTTGCAAATTCCAATTAAAATTTAATTAAGAATTGATATCCCAATTAAGTGATTAAAATGAAACTGTTTGACCCAAAAAGTCAAATTTTGCAAATCAGGAGGATCATTTTGAAATCAGCATACTGCCATATTTTGACATTATTTGTCAAAATTGCTCTGCTCATGTTTTGAAATCTAATTAATGTATTTTTGCTCCTATTAAGACAATTTATGATATTTATATGTTATTTTAATTTGTTTAGTCACTAGGTATAGAATAGTTGTTATAATTTAACATGCATGCGTGGGATGATTAATTCATCCTCAACAGACCATGGATAAAAAAGGAGTTGAGGGGAAAAGTGATGGTGGCGCACCGATGCCACAAACCACACAGGTAATTACTAATTACGTATGGGTCGACGTTTAATGATTTATATGTTAGTTTGTGTATTAACTCAATTACATCCGTTTAATATATTTAATTTTTCTACTTTTAGAAAACATTAAGAAAAATCAGATTTTGAAAGAATTTAAAATGAGACAAATTTAAAAGAATTTTTTAAAGAATAATTCATTACTCCATTTGTCACTTAAAAAATTCTTCTTGTTTCCTTATTTGGAAAGTTTTGTGTCGCTAATATTTATTTATTTATTTTACTCAACTACAATCATGCATTTGAATTGATTTTCACGTTTTTAAACTTCGATCAAAGTCAAATCGAGAAAAATTTTATGGTACGGAGAGGGTATTACATTAATAAATAAGACGTTATCAAAATAGAAAAAGTGAATAATGTAAAATTCAACATGTTGCATTTATTTATGAACAAACATAATATTTGTTATGCATGCGATGATTAATTAATCTATCCTCAATAGAACATGAATAGAAATGAAAATGAATCTAAAAAGGGAGTCGAGGCGGGAAGTGATGGTGGCGTTCTTAAAGATGACACGGCACTAAAAACTAAACAGGTAAATACTAATTAAAGTCTACCCAATTATTTAATTTATTACGTACGTAGAATATGCTAATTTTTGTATTTACATATGCATACGTAGTACAAGTATTTGTTTTGAGAATTTTGACTTTACACCACAGTTGTGGTATTGAGTTAACTTTTTGTTAATAGTGTATGGATCTTAAAATTAAATGGGAATATAATGATGGAATTTGATTTATTGATCGTAATCCATTTTTCCTCCACAGAGGACTGATAGAGGTGATCAAAGCGTTGAAACTGCTAAAAGAAGAGCTGAGGAGGAAAGCGGCGGCAGCGGCCTTGAAGACGGAAGGACGAAAAGCAAAAGTATGGGTAAAGAAGAAGAAGAAGAAAGGCATACCAGAATTCCGGCAGCGGCGCCGGCGGCAACCACAACAGAAATAGCGGCCGGTTATAGTGCTGCAGCAGCAGCTTATTTTGAGGGCGCAAAAGAGCTGATTAGGACTCATCGACGGGAAATGGTGACTGTGGCTATGGGTTTGGCGATTCTAGGCATTAGCATTTATGTTATAACCGGCCGCCGCCATGATTAGATCCATCCAACCTTTGAGAAATTAAACCTGTTTAATTTGATGTATCTCGGAGGAAGATTAACATAAATTTACCGCCTGCGGGCATGTGTATTTACCGCCCGCATGCATGCATGTGATTTAGTTTAATTATATGTACGTACGTCTATAATGAAATAAACAAAATACTACTCCCTCCCATTCAAAAACAAGTTCCACTTCATTATTCATTGGTCAACTTAAGTGACTCATGATTTTTTATTATATATATCAAATTTTTATTAAATTGAAATTTTATTGATCAGGTTTTGTAGCGGTTTTAATGTAGTTTCTGAATATGTAAATTTTATTTACTAAAAATAATCCGAGTGTGAACAGGGATCGAGTTGCTTTATCGTCAGTCAAGCATCGTAAACCGAACTGGAACTTGTTTTTGAATCGGATGGAGTACGTATGAATTGCAACTTGTTTAATTATATGTTTGACTTTCATGTTTTTCATGTGATTTAGTTTAATTATAAAGTCATTACCCTAAATGGGAGTAAAACAATGATAAAGGTCCAAAATAGGAGTTACTATTAATTTATTCCCTAAATGGGTACGGCAAGGTCCAAAATAGTGTTCGGGATCAACTTCTGGCAGTGATGGTTGTGTACGGCAAGACCCAAGAGCTAGCAGTCCATTGTGTATGCTTTTATTTGATTAAATAATGTAGTGTTTTCATTAAGGGTAGTGTTGTCAATAGCATATTGTATTTTTACTTCTATTAAAACTTACGAAACGTAAGACTCCTATTCCTGCACTTTTATTATGTTTTGCTCCTAGTTTAAGAATTCTCTCTTAATTATATGTATGTACGTCTATAATGAAATAAAGAAAATAATACGTTTGAATTGCAACTTGTTTATATGTTTATAATATGCGTGTGTAATCATTTGACTTTCACGTTTTTCAATACACAACTTTGACTATAATTATATTTAATTATGTATTGATATTAAATATGAGGGGGGGTTTCCCTAAATATGACTAAATAAAAGTATAATCGCAAAAATTGGAGTTTAATGTTTAAATTCATAAAATAGGACTAACTCTTCCTATTTTGCCCTTTCCTTTGTTCTTTCTAATAGGATTTTTTAAATAACCATTATAAAACATAAAAAATTAAAATAAAATATCATAAAAAATATACAGACCTTAACCACCACCTCAGCCACCTTCCATCACCGCCATCTCCGGTCGCCGAAAAAGATTTCCATGTTGGAAAAAACATGTCATCGTGATGGCAATTTTGAAAAGAAAGCTGGATATTTTCAAACAGTAAAAATATAATGTATCTTTTTGGTATTTTCATAGAAATGTGGCATTTTTACACAAGATGGCATTTTTTTCCGGCGACCGGAGGTGGTGGTGCTGGGTGGTGGAGGATGCAGAGTTAGTGGCCTACATATTTTTTTAATATTTTATTTTTTTTCAGATTTTTACGGAGGTGGTGATATTTTATTTTATTTTATTTTCCCCGATTTTTTTATTCATTTATAAATATTTTACGATTTTCTATGTTTTTATTATAAATAAACTATGATTTATAGTATTAAAAAATAAATCTCTTAGAAATTATAGGTTGAGGGTAGAATAGGAAGAGGAGACATCTATTACTCCTATTTTGGGAATAAAAGAAGTATAGTCCTATTGTGTAATTTTGAAGTGCTTTTAGTCCTGTTAGGGCTAATAGCCGTAAATATTAGTATAAAAAATTAATATTTTGAAACTTCATATTATGAAAAAAATTAATAGAAATTGTTCAGTATAAGACGGAAACAGATACTCCGAAATAAGACTTATTTAGTTTTGCTAAAACAATAAGATGATAATTAAAACTCCTCAAACTAGAAGTGAATGAATTCTATTTTGAAAATAAAAACAAAGATATAGTTCTATTTATAAACTTAATCCTTTTGTTAGTCCTATTTACAGAATTTGAGCATATAGTTATATTTATAAATTTAACCATGTTAATGTCAACATTCTTGATTGGGATGAGACTCGAACATGCGACCTCCTTTTTCAGAGATCCGCAGTGATGTCATCAGACCACAATATACTTGTCAATACATTTAGGAAGTTAAAAATGAAAGAAAAACATGTTCTTTTTTAGTTTTTCATCGCTTCAGAGTATATTCCTAAGGAAGAATGCACAGGTCCATCTGGAGGGACGGAAGCAACTGTCCGAACTCTGCCGTTTGGGGCGGTTCCCGGTGGAATTTTTTGATGAATTGTTTTCGAGCATGTTCCTCATCAAGTATAGTTTGTCCATACCAAATTTCAATTCAAAATTCGATCGAGAAGGCATTCAAATCATTTTTTTAAGTTGCTTGCGCCAAAATATACATATAAAAATGCAGTCAACTTCAAAAAATAATTTGAATACCTTCCCGATCGCATTTTGAGCTGCAATTTGGTATGGACAAACAAGACTTGATGGGGAATATGCTCAAAATATTTCATCAAAAAAATCCACCGGGAACCGTCCCAAACCGCGGAGTTCGGACAGCGGCTGGACAGGTGAGGGCTGGACCTGATCATTTCTGTATTCCTAAGTATGTAAAAGAGGATATAGATTCTAAGTATCTAAAAGAAGACACCCGCATGATGGCTTCAAGTCAATCTTTCTTCTTACTTTGGTTAGTACGTCGGCTTATTTGCCTCTTTTCCCTTCTTTTTTCAATCTTATCATATAGAGGCCGTTTGGCAACATTGTTTTTCGGTTTATCAGTCAACTTTTTCACCAAACACGTAACTTTTGCTTCCGCGCGCTGAATTGTGTAATATGTTGAAAAAGTAAGGTTGGAGTTATTTTTCTGATTGTATTGGCTAAAGTTACTGTAGACGACCATTTTAGCTATTTTTGCATATAATTTTTTCTTTATTTTATGAATAAAATATAGTTTTAAAATAATGTTTTCTGTAATCAGCAGAATCAGTCAATGGAGCCACTTCAGCCAGAACTTCATAAATTTCAGCAGAATCAACCAAATCAGCCGATTTTCGTGTTACCAAACGGGCTCATAATGATTGCAATTTAAATCTAACATTTTCACATGTAAATAACATGTGAATCTAACTTGCATATTTAAATAACATAATTAAAACTTGTACGGAGTATTTACTACCTCGTCCCGCTTAGATTGTCCTATTTTACCATTTTGGTCCGTCCCACTAATTAAGATTGTCTCATACCTTATTTGGTAAAGTTTGTGTGGCTCTAAACCATTCTTACTTTATTCTTACTTTATCAATTCAATATCAACCACATAAACCACTTTTTATAGATTTGTGTGTCACTCCCTCGTGTCCCATTGTTTGTGGGACGGGGGGAGTATAAATTAAAACTTGTATTTATAATTTAACATTTTCCTCGCCAATGTGGCTTTTTGCTTTCTCCTTGGCAATAACCAACTCCTTGTCACTCCTCAATGTCACCGCATGGCATGGGCTTGTTGCCTAGGATTCGGCCCCGTTTGAGATGGAAGCTTCCTCGAATACTTGGCCTCAAGTCTACTCACCGCACTTGAGATTTGACTGATTTGGTTCTCAAGGTTTTGGATGCTAGACTTGGTCTCACGTTGAAATTGGACCATGTTTTGTTGCATAGTCGAGACATTTGAGGTGAGTGCTCGGATCATGTCTTCCGTGAACATACTTGAGCCTTGGCCTTGGGGTTTAGAATATGGTTGTTTGTTTTGAGGAAATTGATTTTGTGGAGGGTTATAATTTTGTTGTGGGTTCCCATGAGGGTTCCCATATCTAAGATTGGGGTGATCTCGAAACCCGGAATGATAAGTATTGCCATTAGAATCATACCTCTTTTGGTTTTGGAACCCCAAAGCGTTTACTTGCTTGGGATTGTCTTCTTGAAGAGTTGGGCATGAGTCGTGGGATGTCCTTGTTGTGTACAAATGCCGCAGACCTTGACTTCTTGGGTCTTGAAATTTAAAAGAAAATCATTAACCAAAGAAGTCAAGACGACAACTTGACTTTCCAATGATGATGTCGATTCCGCAGCGGCAACTCTACGAGTTGAGGACCGCCCGTTAGAGTGCCTAGAGTTTTCGGCCAACTCCGAGATGAGGTCTCTTGCTTGAGAAGGGGTTTTGTTGACAATATCCCCTCCACATGCCGCATTCACCATACGGCGATCTTGATCCACAAGACCATCATAGAAGTAGAGAATGAAGTCTTGGTCCGAGTACCCATGGTATGGCAGCTAGCACAAAGCTTTTTGAAGCGCTCCCAATATTCATACATGGTCTCATCATCTTTTTGCTCAATATTACCGATTTGTTTCTTGAGACTTGAAGAGATAGAAGCGGGATAGTACCTTTCAATGAAGCACTTCTTCATTTGTGCCCATGTGTTGATGCTACCCAAAGAAGATAGAAAAAAGCCAATCATTTGTGGTGTCCTTGAGAGAAAATGGAAAAGCTTTCATTTTGATTTTCTCCTTCGTGACACCGATGGGGCACATGTTTGTGCACACAATACGGAATTCCGACAAATGTTTGTTCGGATCTTCCCCTCTTAGGCCATGAAAGGATGGCAATAGATGAATGAGCCCAAATTTTAGCTCAAATGTAACACCCTCATCAAGAGTAAGGAAGGTGATACAATACGGTTGTAGATTAAGGTTTGGAGCGGTAAGCTCCTTCAAGGTCCTCGTCTCGAGAGCCATGTGGAATGACTCTTCGGATTCACTAGACTGAGAGCTAGCGTTGGATGAATCTCCGGTAGATGATTCCTCCGAGTCGATACTATAAAATTTACTATTCAACCGCTCGAAAGTTTGCTCTATTTCCGGGTTCGCTTGATAGGTGATTTCGTTGATTGAACGGTGTTTAACCATATACTTCACAAAGTTCAGAAATAGAAAAAGTAAAAACTCTTTATATTCTGTTTATTTATATATTTTTTTATTTTTCTTGAATTAAAATAAAAAAAAATTATTGTCTTTCCTCGGCAACGGCGCCAAATTTGACGAGCACTTTGTCGTGGCATGCACTAAAAATAAATAAATCAATACAATACTTATACGTAGTAAAATGAAGTAAGGTTCGTATCTACAGGGAAAGCAATATTTATCTCTTTTATGTAACTAGTAACAAGGGGGGTTTTAGGTGTGTTTGATTTTAATTAATTAAATACGAAAATGAACGGCTTATATGAGTTTAATTAATAGAGATGAAT